AGCCTCAAAACCCACGGGAGGCACTCAGGGATCCCTGAGGATCCCATAATGGGATCACCAGACCCATGTAGGGCCTGTGGTAACCAAAGGGGGCCCAAAATCCTGGGATTTATCCTCAAAACCCACGGGAGGCACTCAGGGATCCCCAAGGATCCCATAATGGGATCACCAGACCCATGAAGGGCTATGATCAAGGGGGTCCAAAATCCTGAGATCTGGCCCCAAAACCCACGGGAGAGGTGTGGGATGAGCCCTGAGGGAGCTCAGGGGTGACAAGGATCCCACAATGGGATCACCAGACCCATGTAGGGCCTGTGGGAAGGGGGGCAGCTGTGGGCCAAAGGGAGCCCAAAATCCCAGGATTTATCCTCAAAACCCACAGGGGAGATGTGGGATGAGCCCTGAGGGAGCTCAGGGGTGACAAGGATCCCATAATGGGATCACCAGACCCATGTAGGGCCTGGGGGAGGGGGCTGTGTTAACCAGAGGGTCCTAAAAACCCTGGGTTTGTCCCCAAAACCCACAGAGGGGATGTGGGATGAGCCCTGAGGGAGCTCAGGGATGACACAGACCCCACAATGGGATCACCAGACCCATGTAGGGCCTGTGGTAACCAGAGGGTCCCCAAAACCCTGGGTTTGTCCTCAAAACCCACAGGGGAGGTGTGGGATGAGCCCAGAGGGAGCTCAGGGATCCCCAAGGAAAACAGGGATTCAGCAATGGGATCACCAGGACCTGCAGATCCCATCCCATGGGGCAGGGGGTTGGATTTTAGGTCCATGGGTGAGTTTTTGGGTGGGTGGGTGGGTTTTTGGTTGGGTTTCTGGGTCACTGGGTTGTTTTCCAGATCCATGGGTGAGTTTTTGGGTGGGTTTCTGGGTCACTGGGTTGGTTTTTGGGTGGGTTTCTGTGCCAGTGAGTTGATTTTTAGCTCAATGGGTGAGGTTTTGGGTGGGTTTCTGTGTCAGTGAGTTGATTTTTGGGTCAGCAGGTGAGGTTTCTGGTGGCTGGGCAGGTTTCTGGGTGGGTTTCTGTGTCACTGAGTTGATTTTTGGGTCAGTAGGTGAGGTTTTGGGTCAGTAGATGAGGTTTTGGGTCAGTAGATGAGGTTTTGGGTGGGTTTCTGTGTCCCTGGGCTGTTTTCCAGGCCCATAGGTGAGTTTTTGGGTGGGTTTCTGTGTCCCTGGGTTGGTTTTTGGGTGGGTTTCTGTGTCCCTGGGCTGTTTTCCAGGCCCATAGGTGAGTTTTTGGGTGGGTTTCTGTGTCCCTGGGTTGGTTTTTGGGTCAGTAGGTGAGGTTTTGGGTGGGTTTCTGTGTCAGTGAGTTGATTTTTGGGTCAGCAGGTGAGGTTTTGGTGGCTGGGCAGGTGCCTGGGTGGGTTTCTGTGTCACTGGGTTGGTTTCTGGTTGGGTTTCTGTGTCCCTGGGTTGATTTTTGGGTCAGTAGGTGAGGTTTTGGGTGGGTTTCTGTGTCAGTGAGTTGATTTTTGGGTCAGCAGGTGAGGTTTTTGGTGGCTGGGCAGGTGTCTGGGGTACCTGGTGCGGGTTCCAGTCGCTGTCGAAGATGATGACGGTGTCGGCCGACTGCAGGTTCAGCCCCAGCCCCCCCGCCCGGGTGCTCAGCAGGAAGATGAAATACTCTGAGCCCGGCTCGTTGAACGTCTTCAGCAGCATCCCCCGGTCCTCCGCCTTCGTCGTCCCTGCAACACACACACCC